TGTGTGTCTGTGGTCTGTGATCTGTGTGTGTCTGTGGTCTGTGTGTGTGTGGGGGGGGGATCTGTGTGTGTCTGTGGTCTGTGTGTGGGGGGGGGGGATCTGTGTGTGTCTGTGGTCTGTGATCTGTGTGGGTCTGTGTGTGTGGGGGGGGGATCTGTGTGTGTCTGTGATCTGTGTGTGTCTGTGGTCTGTGTCTGTGGGGGGGGGGGATCTGTGTGTGTCTGTGGTCTGTGTGTGTCTGTGATCTGTGTGTGTCTGTGATCTGTGTGTGTCTGTGGTCTGTGTGTGTGGGGGGGATATGTGTGTGTGTATATGTGTGTGGGGTCTGACATATATTTTTTTAATCATGTGTATATTTTTTTCTCAGGTACCTGGCAACTGGTGATTCATACAGGACCATAGCATTCAGCTATCGGGTCGGGCATGCAACAGTAGCTGTCATCGTCAAGGAGGTTGCGGGTGCCATCTGGACCACCCTGGTTGAGGAGACCATGCCAGTACCACAGCCGGAGGACTGGAGAGCCATCGCGGCTGGGTTTCAGGAGATCTGGAACTTTCCAAATTGCGTTGGTGCCGTTGATGGGAAGCACGTGGTGATCCAGGCTCCGGCAAATTCTGGGTCCCTCTACTTCAACTACAAGTCCACCCACTCCTTGGTACTGCTGGCTGTCGTGGATGCCCGGTACCTCTTCAGGGTAGTGGATGTTGGAGGATTTGGAAGGAGCAGCGACAGTGGGAGCCTGCGGAATTCGGCATTTGGAGAGAGCCTCAGAGATGGCAGTCTGCAGCTACCACCTGACACCGTCATCCCAGGAGCAGAGCGGCTGGGCCTTCTTCCCCATGTGTTTGTAGGAGATGAGGCTTTTCCGCTGCTGGACAACCTGCTGCGTTCATTCCCTGGACGTCACCTCACCCGTGAAAGGAGGATGTTCAACTACCGCCTCAGCCGAGCCAGGTTGGTGGTTGAATGTGCGTTTGGCATCCTCTCATCCCAGTGGAGAATGTTCAGGCGTGTCATCACCACCAGCCCGGAGGTAACAGAGTTGTGTTTGAAGGCCACCTGTGTGTTGCACAACTTCCTCCGCAGGAAGACGATAGGAAGGCGATCACGCACACCTCTTGCCGAGTCCACGGATGAAGCTACTCCAACCCTGTGTGATGCACCGAGGATGGGCTCCAACAATGCCACACGCAGATCCATCCAACTGCGGGAGACCTTCAGCTCCTATTTCAATGAGGAGGGTGCAGTGCCATGGCAGGCGAATGTGGTGTAGGGTCACCATTGTCTCCAAACCAAAAGCTCTTTTAAGAGCTACCCATATTTTCTTTAAAAAGCAAATATTCCAAATGAGCCATTTTAAAATCAAACATTCCTAATAAACATGTTTCTTGAATTGATATTATGATATGACTAACAACCTTTTTCCTTCAGTCCTGTTTTTAGTGATAAACCACTCATAATTACAACAGGTTTTCACCTGAACAATTACAGAAGACCGCACATTATATATCGACATACATGAAGCTTCTGGTATGTTGCAACTGACAAACCACATGAACAAGTCAAGACACAGTATAGCCATAACATACTTTAAATAACTTTTATTTATGTAATGTTGTGAGTGAAGTGTGTGATGAGTGTAAAAATATGTAATGTGGATCAGTATCAGTATCAGTATTTAATCTTCCTCCTGGTCTGCCTCTAATACCACCTTGTGGATGGCAAATCTGACTCGCAGCCTCTTTGCTCTCGACATCAGTCTCATGGTGGGCAAGAGACTCCTGAAGAATAACAGGTCCTCCTCCTCCTCCACCACCAATGGCATGGCCAGAATTGGAGCGACGGCAGACAGCAAATTATGTTCGAAGGAGGACATCTCCTTTGCCCTTTTCCTTTTCCCCCGGAACGAACCACTTGCATCCTCCTGTCCTGTCTCCCCTGCCTCTGCTGGCTGACTGGCTGGCTGACTGGCACCTGGCTGACTGCCTGGCTGACTGCCTGGCTGACTGGCACCTGGCTGACTGCCTGGCTGACTGGCTGGCTGACTGGCACCTGGCTGACTGCCTGGCTGACTGGCACCTGGCTGACTGGCTGGCTGACTGCCACCTGGCTGGCTTTCCTGGCTCTCTTCTCTTACCAGGGTGGATGGAGGCAGGGTTTGCCGGGGGACATTGCTGGACGTCTCGCGGTAAATCATGAATGGGTTTAAAAAACTCATGATTGCCGCGAGACGCCAGGGCTTGTATCCCCCTGAAGACCCTGCACCGCTTCTTTTAGCCTCCTTCTCCTGTTGCTTCTCCTTCCTGTACCTGTCCCTCAGTGTCTTCCATTTTTTTTTGCACACTTCCTCTAATAAAATGAAATGAAAGAATACAGTTCATTTCTTTAATTTACAACAATTATTCCTCCATTAATGAAAACCAAATCCCTTTTATCACTGTCAATTGCATAAAAGGTTTTACATGTCACACTTTATCAGAATCAAAATCAGAAACAGGTTTATTGCCAGGTAAGTTCGCACATACTAGGAATTTGACTTGATGTCATGGGGCATATATAAAAAACAAGAAATCTAATATAAAACACAATGTTTTACACCGTAATAAAATACAGTTAAGTTGCAATAAGATAACAATTAAATAAAGCAGTAATTTACATGGAAATAGAATGCTATGAATGCATTTTTGCATATAAACTAAGAAATGTGAAATCAGAATATGTGCAGAAAGGAGTATGACATTGTGTGCATTAATGTGATGTTAATGGAGGGCTATGATGAACATTTATGAGATTAATGTCTGGTGCTATTTTATGCTACATTCCATGCTGGCTAAATATACTGTCTATGCTTGCTAGCGATGTTAAAACGAAGTAAACTGGATCTAAAATCCCCAAACAGGCGAAAACCTACCAGTTTCACCCACTGTCTCTGCCACCTCCCTCCATGCCTGGTTCCTCCGGTTTGTATCCCGGTAGGTGAACAGAGACTGATCATAAAGCACCGGGTGATTTGCTACCACAACAACTAACTTTTCCTCCATTTTGTCAATTTTGTTAGGAATATAGAAATGAACTGCGGTATGTCTCTCCCAGCATACACGCCGTTTGATTGGCTAGAGCTTGAACTGTCAGATTTGCGTACACGGGATTTGATTGGCTGACGCTTCCACCTCAGCCTCAAAAGTTGAACATTGTTCAACTTTCAATCCTGAAAATCCTGAAAATCTCCGCTCTGCTGCCCACAATGCAGTTCGGCGAAAAGTGAGGCAAAGTGACGTCACCCCATTCAAAGTGAATGGGCAGAAGCGTTTCAAGATTTTTTTAACGCTGCTGTGTAGACGGTCCGTTACCGAGGGCAGAACCACGACAAAGTCAGTGGTTGAAATTCCTTGTTAACACTGTTCCTTCAGATGTTCGAGCCGGTATTGTACTGTGCGTGCGGCATTTCACGGACCAAGGCTTCACAAACCTTGCAGCGATTCATGCCGAATATGCACAGCGTAGGACACTGAAGGACGATGCTGTTCCTACTTTGTTTGGACCAGCGGGAGATTCGGGTACACAACCTGTAAGTATTCATTGTTGTTTGTGTATTTATGATGTGTTTAAAACAAACAAGGTATATCTACCACGACTGTTTAAATGGGTAAACGTTTTTCGGGCTGCTAAGCCATTGACACAGTGCTAACTGGGCTAACTAAGTTGCTAGCGTTTCCATATATCAACTCCAATGTTAGCAGATGGCCTTACATGTATCTCATAGCAGGAGAATGTCTGCGTTCACACACGAAATACTCATAGACAGTATACTCCGGGTGATTTGCCGTACGGTCAGTCGCGAAACGTAATTACATTATAGTTGGTGTTCCGAGCGTGTATGCTACCGAGCTAAACAAGAAGGCTACCAAGAGCTAGACATGCTAGGGAAAACATTGTTTTTATCCCAGCTACAATGAATGACCGAACGTGGCAGACTACCCGTATAAGATTGCAATTGTAAACATGTTCTTGCTAGCCTAATATGAACCACTAGCTGTTGTTCATAGTAGGTTGGCATAATACACTGAACAACTAGCAAACGTAGGTTAGCATATTAATCTAGCTGGCAAGCTAACGAACCTAAAACAACTAAGTTTCTCTAATATTTTGTGATTTGCATTTGATTTCGTCCAGCCAGATCAGGAAACTCCTAGCGTATCCGGCGGACAACACATGACGGGATGACTACTCTACTGCCTCGTCCTAAAAATCCCCAGCACCAGCTTACAAAGCTGCGATAGTCAACATGCTGAAAACGCCTATATGGGGAGGAATGGATGATTTACAGTGTATATATGTATATTTATACATGTTCATTTTGTACATTTCTAAAAAATAAAGTTGAATGGAAATACTTAGTAGCCTTTCTTCCCTGAATTATTTGCTCCTATAACATATCATTCATATATAGCAAACCATGATTTGATTTTTCATCAAACACAGTAGTAGTTTATTACAGGTAAAAATAACTTGAGAGTCTGAGTTCGAAATATATCTCAAATAATGTATGCACTGCCATTTCCCAACATAAACATTACAGTCTGCAATTAAACGGTTGTCTCCTGTGTGCTCCACTTCCTACTTGGCGCTCCGGTAACTTTCTCGTGTGAACGAGATACAGTATCTTTTTTTCAAATGCAAAGTCCTTTCGAGTCATCTGTCTCAAGCTTAAGTCAAGTCTCAAGTCATGAATACCAAGTCAAAGTCAAGTTGAGTCTTTTATCAATGTTAGTCAAGTCCAAAAATATGCGACTTGAATCTGACTCGAGTCAAGTCATGTGACTCGAGTCCCCCACCTCTGGTATATACTGTGGTTTGAATGTTGCCGTATTACTGTATCAAATATAATAAAAAAAACAGTTAGTACAAGTAGTATTTTGTGAGTTTTTATTGTGTTAACTCTATACGTGTTTATGCTTTTTAGATTGACTTTCTCTCTTTCTCTGTCCGTCTGTTTTAGAAACCGAAAAGAAGAGAGAGACGTCACAGCTGTCAGCAATGTGACAAATCCTTTACAAATTCTGGAAATTTAAAGCGCCACCTGCTTATTCATACTGGAGAAAAACCGTACAGCTGTGACGAGTGTGGCCAAACGTTCACTAGATCAGGTGATCTCAAAAAACATTGCCGTATTCACACAGGAGAAAAACCATACAGCTGTGAAGAGTGTGGCCAAACGTTCACTCGATCAGGTCATCTCACAATACATCAACGTATTCACACGGGAGAAAAGCCGTACAGCTGTGAAGAGTGTGGGAAAACGCTCACTACATCAGCTGATCTCAAAATACATTGCCGTATTCACACAGGAGAGAAACCGTACAGCTGTGAAGATTGTGGGAAAACGTTCACTACATCAGGTGTTTTCAAAAGACATTGCCGTATTCACTCAGGAGAAAAGCCATACATCTGTGAAGAGTGTGGGCAAACGTTCACTCAATCAGGTGTTTTCAAAACACATAAACGTATTCACACAGGAGAAAAACCGTACAGCTGTGAAGAGTGTGGGCAAACGTTCACGAGATCAGGTGCTCTCAAATCACATCTACGTATTCACACAGGAGAAAAACCATACAGCTGTGAAGAGTGTGGGAAAACGTTCACGAGATCAGGTGCTCTCCTAACACATAAACGTATTCACACAGGAGAAAAACGGTACAGCTGTGAAGAGTGTGGGAAAACATTCACTCAATCAGGTGCTCTCAAAACACATCTACGTATTCACACAGGAGAGAAACCTTACAGCTGTGAAGAGTGTGGGCAAACGTTCACGAGATCAGGTGCTCTCAAAACACATCAACGTGTTCACACTGGAGAGAAACCTTACTGGTGTGAAGAGATGCTGTTTTCACCCTAACCCATCATGTATTTTCCTAAATCTGACTAACAGTTTTTTATTTTCTAACCATCGTTCACACTATGCCAAAACAAGGCCACAGCGATGCTGTTTCTCCCCATTTAATTAAAATCATTGTTCTACTATGCTGTGTTTCAACCATGGTTTTCTAATAGTCTTGTTATTCCTTTTATAACATATTATATGTCCAGGATTAAACTGCTAGCCTCGTTAAGTTGCATCGGGTAGTTTCTTGAATAATCTGTTTGGTCAATGAAATGTTGTGACTTAAACTTTGATTGGGATGTTTTGATAATTCCTGTTGAGTTGGCATTCTGTTCTGGGCAAAAAAAACAATGATGAATTTATCCAAATAATATTCCTGATGTTTTCAGTTTGATTCTCTTCTCTTTTGTTTAAATTATCAGAATGTACCAAACTAAAAAAGGCCTTAGAAACAGACTCACATCCCTGCATATTTGTGTTTTTCAGCACATTATACCCACTTAACAGGAAGAAACTCAGCTAACTAACTGTTACGTGCCGTAGTGTCGCCTCGAGCCCGGCACGCTCCAGAAGATAGTTAGGTACGTTTTGGTAGGCAGGATCTGGGGAAGCTTGTTATTTTGAAGACTGGCGTCAGTGTTTGGGAAGCGGTAGTGATAGGTTGTGTTTTTAAAAAAAAAAATGTTTGTAAGTAGCCGTTGCTAAATATGGCTTTTGTTTTGGAGCAGTTTGTGGCCAGTCCCACTGTGTGTCAGCTAGACCAGTGTAGGAAGGTTGACTTGCGGTTAGTTGCTAACCACTATCACGTTTCTGTCTCCACTGCTCTTTTTCAAAGTGAACTCAAGGCTACTTTGCTAACTGGACTAGTTGAACAGGGGGTTTTGAGTCTGCCTACTTTAGTGGAATCTCCTGGCACGGTGGCCGGGGCTGTAGCAGCAGTATCTCCTAGTGGAGGCCACGTTGGTGTTACTCCTGGTGTTCAGAGTGCTACGGTGCAGGCAAAACTTTTCACCATGCCTCAGTTTGATTAGACTAAATTAGATGCCAGGATAAAAGTACGTATGGCTCGTCTCCAGTGGGAGAAGGAGTGTGAGCGAGATTTTCAGCTCAGGAGGGAGCTGGAAATCAGAAAGTTAGATGCAGACACAGCTTTCAGGATGCGTCAGCTAGAGCTGCAGACAGGTTCAGTGGGATCCTCTTCGGGTACACAACCATTGTCAGATTCTGATGCTCCTTTTGATGTTGGTAACAATATTCCGCTGGTTCCAGTATTTCGTGAGTCTGAAGTTGAGTCATACTTTGTTGTGTTTGAGCGCATTGCTGCTGCTTTGCAATGGCCGAAAGATGTGTGGGCCATACTGTTACAGTGCAAGTTAGTTGGTAAGGCTCAGATGGTTTGCTCTTCTCTTCCTGTTGAAGATTGTATTGTGTACGAAAAAGTTAAATGCGCTATACTCAAAGTGTATGAGCTTGTGCCTGAGGCTTATAGACAGCGTTTTTGTGGCCTAAAGAAAACACCTGGCCAAACTTTTGTAGACTTTGCAATAGAGAAGAAAAAGCTATTCAACGGATGGTGTAAGGCATCAAAGGCTGACGACTTAACTTCAGTTTGTGATCTCATAGTGCTGGAGGAGTTTAAAAACTGTGTCCCAGAACATACTGTTGTTGTTTTAAATGAACGAAAAATAACCTCCTTGCAGCAGGCTGCCACCATGGCGGATGAGCTGGTGTTAATGCACAGTGGTGTTTTGGCTCAGAGCGATTCTCCTCATCGTGTTGGTTTCCGGAAAGCTTGTAACAGGCGTGCCACACATGCTCACTCTGTTTCTCTTCCAGGACCCAAGAAAAAGAGATTGTGTTTCTTTTGTCTTGACCCTGGTCATCTAGTGGCAGAGTGTGAACAAGAACATTTGTTCTTAAAAAAGACGACAATTCTCAAGTAGTGGTTCACACAACAACCCCAGAGCCAGCACTTGAGCCAGGAGAAATTACAGCTACGTTGACGTTACTTTGAATCGCGGGGGTAAGCTAAACCGTTAGCAAGTAGCTATAGCTAGCCAGATATATTAAATAAACACTGTGTCATTCAATCTAAATGTAATGTTTTTTAGCGTTACCTGGTGATTTCAAAGAAAGCTCTCTGGGAAATGTTGACTTACTGTTCGACATAAAGCTAGAAGCTACCTTACAGTACACAGTTGATCCTGAGTCCTGTCAGTTAAAGTGTTTCATAGTTAGCTTAGCTAAGCATCAACCTCGCACTGAAATATATGGATGTTATGTGACAGCAGTGGCGAGCCGTCAGGGCCCTCTAGGCCCTCTGTGAGGGCCTAAGATATTCCAAAAAATAATATTTAAAAACATTAAAAATATATATTTGTTTTAATATTATTTTTGTTATATTTTTCATTAGTTTTACCGAAAAAAAACTTGATTCAATAAAATAACATTTCCAAAGAAATAAATCCTTCGAATCTGCCTGTTCAGTCTCTGTTGAATGTGAAGGGTTACATGAAAGAACCCCGTCTGGCCCTCTCTGCGATTCACAGAGGGCCCGCTATAGTAACTCAACGAGAGAGTAATGTCAAATGACAGTACAATTGACCAATCATATCTTCCCTCTAAATGGGTGGGTTTTATTATCGCGGACTTTATGACAAGTTCCACCCGCTGTGAAACTTTTCTTGTTTCCATAGCAACAACAACTTCCTGTCAACAGCGTGAACTCGCCTTCAAAATAAAAGCATGCCAAATTACACTTAAGACATACAACTGCAACGAAAGTAACAAACACAATGCAATATCATTTTCAATGTCAAAGAACACAAATTGGGTTCACAGGTGTTGTTTTGTGTGGTAGAGGGTCGCTGTCATTGAGGCGTTTTGCACCCTGGGCCGTTGTTTTGATATTCCGCTGAAGTATACGCTGTGACGTAATAACTCTTTTTTTCTTCTTTTTTTCGAGGGAAGGGGTGGGGGTCAGAGGGCCTAGGTTTAAAGCTCACGGCTCGCCACTGTGTGACAGTATATTTCGGAGAAAAAGTCAGCTGAAATGGTGGCATAGTTGCCACTGCTTTACGTGTCGACAGCATGATTGAACGTATTTGCAGCAGTAAATGTGGCTCTTTGGCCACTGACGTTGCCATAACAACACCTGCATTTAAATGTGCAACCTCTTTTTGTGACAGATTTTTGCATGAAATTATAATTCTTCTGAATGATATTCCTATTGACAGCTAGTTTTTATGTGAACATTATGAGATGGACAGCCAGAGAGAATAAATGAAAAACAGTTATGAAATACTATATGACAAAACAAGAATACAGTTTAAAAGGGGAGTGATTTGTAAAATATCCATAAAGAAAAATCTGTTTACAGTTCTGTTTCAAATGGGTGTTGAGAGATGTATCCATAGATCTCTTAATGTTGCTCTCAAAGTGCACCAGATTGATGCTTTTAACTTCAATATTTAAAAAAAATTCTTCCCGGGGGAACATGCCCCCGGGAAAAAAAGATATGTGTGCTTATGCTAACATCATAAGATAAAAGTTGGTTCCGTGTTGTGTGAAGTGAGAACGTGCTAGAGTGAGGGGGGCCCCCAAGCCAAAGCTTGCTTAGGGCCCCCAAAAGTCTAGGGCCGGCCCTGCGAACAACCTTAAACTGCACCTGAAACACAACCACCCCATTCCGCTTTCCCAGCTGGGAGCAAACACGGCAGCTGGAGATGGAGAGCCCCCACCATCCCGACAGTTTACAATCAAAGATGCATTTTTACATTTTTACTGAAGTACAATATCTGAGTACTTCTACTTTTACTCAAGTACAAGATCTGAGTACTTCTACGTTTACTGAAGTAAAATATCTGAGAAATTGTACTTTAACTAAGGGACAAGACCTGAGTACTTCTACTTTAACTAAGGGACAAGACCTGAGTACTTATACTTTCATAAATATAATCAATCAGACTTCAGTTCCACCTGGAGTAAATTCACAAGCTACCCTACAGTATACAAAGTCATTAGCCGCGTTCACACCAAGTACTTTCCTGTACTTAGTTCCGGCACTAAGAGCCCCGGCGCTTTTAACCCCAGGGCACTTAGTACAGATCGTGTTCACACCGGAGTACTTTTCCCTGAGGGAAGATTACGCAAATGAGCCGCTGACGTTACTTCTTCTTCTTCTGCTTTGGCTTTACTGGCAGGCCACAAACCACTTCACGGCGAGTACAGTAGGTGGCGGTATGCACCTTAAAGTTGTTTGCAATCCGCTGCAAAACAAGAGAAGAAGAAGAAAAACTTCCCGCGTATACTGCGACGCCCACCCACTCGCTGTACATTAGGCGTCTGTTGTTTACCTTCCGACCTCAGACATGATGGAGATGGAGTCGACTGAAGTTGTGCTGTTTGTGCTCATGTTATACAGCTTTGTAACTGAGTTAATGCAGCCTGAGCAACTTGCGTACAATAACAAAACAAGCCGAGCACGAGTGGTGGTGGAGAACGCTTTTGGCAGACTGAAGGGCAGGTGGCGGTGCTTGATGAAAAGAAACGACTGCAAGATGGACAAGATCAAAATCCAGGTGGCAGCATGTTGCATATTACATAACCTTTGTGAAAGTAATGAGTACAGGGACGAATGGACTGCCTTACCGGCGACCCAGCTTTATGAGGCATCTGAACAGCGTGTAAATTGTAAACATTTTGACAATAAAGCTGATCTTTTGTACAGTGCTTTTGTTTCTCTTTTATTTTCCAGTCAAGACAGGCAACATTACAATAGTGTACAGTGTGGCAATATAATAACAATAAACTGTGCCAGGTGTGTTGTATGCACAGTAAATAGGCTCAGCAGCAAACCCACCGTTATTTTTTATTATATATCTTCCTGAGACCCACTGCATCCGTCTGCCATAAACACTATGGAAACATACATGTTAGTTTCGGCCCATAGTGGACTCCATTTTGTGTTGTGTAAAATGGGGGGGGGGAGGAATTAAAGGTTTGCAAATCCCCATGTCCTCCTCAGAGGACAATCATAAAAACATTTAGTTTTAGGTCAAATAATATTTAAAATGATATAAATTATCATATTTGTGTATGTGCCCCTGCCATTCCCCCACAAGGTTGCAACATTGATGATAAATAAATGACAAATAAAGCTTTGCCAGTTTATAACCGATGAAACATGATGGTATCAGAATAATCACTTACATGTGATGTATAGGATGCTACGGGCACTAAAGATAAAGTGTCAGGAGAAATAAGCAAGCTACAGGATCTGTTTAACAGTAAATAGAAGTTCACATTTTTTATTTAAATAAAATAGAAGTTGTACATATAAATTAACATTATCAATATAAAATAAAGTGTCAGTTGTATCAAGACTATATAATAACAGTAATAACAATAATATAAAATGAACTGGTGAGCATCTTGTCCTCCGTTTCCT